CTCAAATCATTCTTCAACTCATACCAAAACAATCACCAAAATTTTCCAATCCCAAAAGAACAATCATCAAAAATCACAATTTTAGCCATGATAAACTGATTTGATAAATTCACCAAAAATCACACGTTCATAAATTCCCATAAGAGCATACATCATCATACTCATACTATTATAGCCGAATTATCCATAAAATTTCAGAAAGAAACTCAAATCATAGCACAAACCCTAGTTTATACAATATAGGGGCAAAATAGTAATTTTGGTTGCAATAGTCCTTACCTCGAGGCTAGCAACGAATCCTAAACGTGAAACCTAGCTTGATGAGTCATTCACACGTCCCTAGGAAGTGATAGGGTCGAAGGATCACAATTTAAGAGAGAGAAATCAAGAAAACGGATACACGATGCGAATTAGGCAACAAACGACTTACCGGAAGATTGGATTGTTTGATCACGTTCTTGGACTCAAAAAACGTGTTGTTTATGTTAATATTTAAGATCTGGAATAGATAGAGCTTGAAGAGGCGGTCCTAGGGTTTTTGGAATGACGAAAACCGAGTTATGGATGTATTTATAGTGAATTTCCGAAGTTTGAGCCGCATAAGGATAAAATAGGGACGCACGCGTGCGTACCTTCCACGCACGCCGTGCGTGGCTGGCAGTAGCTATTCCGCTTGATTTTCTTGCCACGCACGCTGTGCGTGACCCCACGCTTACCGTGCGTGACCCCAAGCGCCCCAAACCTTAGTTTTTGCCCCGTTTCTTCCCCGTTTGAACCTCCCCTTGGTCCCAAACAATAAACCAACCATCATAAACTACCTAAAGACAATCTAAACGATATGAAACAAAATTTTAATTATTTCCCAAATTCTCTCAAATTTTCAGGGTATTACATTCTCCCCCCTTAAAGGGCGCTTCGTCCCCGAAGCTCAAGTGAAAACACGGTCATGATGAAACACTGAAGGAAATACCTTATCAAAAGGGCTCTAGATATAGAATACTAAAAGTTTACGTACCTCAACCAATCACGTTGCTATGGGTTGCTATAGTTCTTACAAAAGAGAGACGCAAAGTTCAGAATACTAGGAACTCTTACAGATGCCCACCAAATTCTACCTAAGATCACAAGATATAGGATACTAGGAATGTACTCATAACTATTTTCAAGTTCACTAACTCACAAGATACTCTAGGATAAGGAACACCTACGAGCAACCATTGGAAAAATTCCATTCAATTCACAAATCTCAAATCAATCCAAAACATCACAAAATATAACAACAAAAAAATTATCCCACAATCTCACACGCGCCTAAGCCTTAAAATTCCTTCCTAATAAAATTCTTTAATCCTAATTAATGATAATAGTATTTCATGTCAAAAAGTTTTTGAAAATCTTTAAAAGATTTTGAAAAACAAAGGCTCTGATACCAATTTGTAACACCCCTAAATTTTCCGCCCAAAAATACATTTAAATAATGATTTATTTAAAATAATTATCAACTTTATTTGAAAACATCAGAGAGATACAGCGGAAGTCTTAATAGGGAAACGGGTGTTACCGCCACATTCGGTCATCTCTTAACCGAATGCACAGACAACCCAAAGCAAAACAACAAAAACTAATGTAATAATAATTAAATGTTTATTTCATGACTAGATTTGACTAAGGCATCTTCTAAGTCGCTCTCAGGCTCGAGCAATGAATCAATCAACATAATCATCATCACCTGCACAAGTAAAGTGCAGAAAAAAAAACAAAGAAAAAGAAACAAAAATTAGCTTTGGAGCTAAGTAAGTACTACCCAACCCCGTAAAATAATCATGTTTGTCACAAATAGTTTTTCATATAATACTATATAAAAATGACGCACTCCACCAAAATACTTTTCTCTTTGATTTTTCTTAAAACCACTTCTTTACTAAAATCCTCAACTTCTCTTGAAAAATATCATAGTAATTCTTCTCTTTAAATTCTTAAAAAAATCACTTCTTCTCTAACTTCTTAGTAATTTAGAAGGGCGGTGCTCAACCTTTCGACTGAGCCCGGTGGACCGTGGTTACGGACGGTCATCCCGAACAAGTGCCGGTACCACAACTGCTCTTGCGGAAACGAAACGACTACCTTAACTGTGCACACCCCCTAAAAGGGATTCCAAGCCCTCCGAGTAGTAAGTTGTCCCGAGTAGTCGGGACTCTGTCTACCAACTACCCCTGAATAAGATATCTCTGAATGATTAGGGATTACTACTACAATTCTGCTTCTTAAAAGGGATCATCGATCCAATTATCATTCAAAACTTATCCTCACCCTTAGCAGTAGCAACCCTTTTACGTCGGAACTACTACTACTACCACAACTCTCCTTCTTAAAAGGGATCATCAATCCGAAAGTTACTCAAAAATCTCTTCTTAGTAGTAGCCCTAATCACTCTCCACATTTTAAGGGACGTGGAAAACCAACACCTCGGATTACTCCCGAGATGCCTATCTCATGAAAACATTCTTTTATCTTGAATCAGTATACTCAAAATATTTCCCCAATTTCTCAACTGCCTCGAAAATAATTAAATAAAATGTTTAATACTCAAAAGCACTTCTTCTCAAATATCACAGATTGGAGAATTTCAGATCACATGCATACACTAAAATCACGTATCACATAATACATATATAATACGAGGAAACGATTTTGGATTGGCAGAGAAGCTTACAATTTAGGGTTTATCCAAAACTAGTTCCAAAATAGTATTTAATAACATATTCAAAATAATCCAATAAGGATATTTATAACTCCAGAATATATATGTAAAATTTCATACTAAATTATACATTTAAAAATATATAATTTATCCCAAAAGATTTGATCTCACAACACTTTCCAAAAAGAGGGTTTAACCCAAACAATCACTTCCCAAAAGTAGCATTTACTACTACCACCAAAATAATCAAATTGGAGTATTCTGAAACCATAATATATTTTCAATATAACCAGTTATAATAGTCTCAAATCATTCTTCAACTCATACCAAAACAATCACCAAAATTTTCCAATCCCAAAAGAACAATCATCAAAAATCACAATTTTAGCCATGATAAACTGATTTGATAAATTCACCAAAAATCACACGTTCATAAATTCCCATAAGAGCATACATCATCATACTCATACTATTATAGCCGAATTATCCATAAAATTTCAGAAAGAAACTCAAATCATAGCACAAACCCTAGTTTATACAATATAGGGGCAAAATAGTAATTTTGGTTGCAATAGTCCTTACCTCGAGGCTAGCAACGAATCCTAAACGTGAAACCTAGCTTGATGAGTCATTCACACGTCCCTAGGAAGTGATAGGGTCGAAGGATCACAATTTAAGAGAGAGAAATCAAGAAAAAGGATACACGATGCGAATTAGGCAACAAACGACTTACCGGAAGATTGGATTGTTTGATCACGTTCTTGGACTCAAAAAACGTGTTGTTTATGTTAATATTTAAGATATGGAATAGATAGAGCTTGAAGAGGCGGTCCTAGGGTTTTTGGAATGACGAAAACCGAGTTATGGATGTATTTATAGTGAATTTCCGAAGTTTGAGCCGCATAAGGATAAAATAGGGACGCACGCATGCGTACCTTCCACGCACGCCGTGCGTGGCTGGCAGTAGCTATTCCGCTTGATTTTCTTGCCACGCACGCTGTGCGTGACCCCACGCTTACCGTGCGTGACCCCCAAGCGCCCCAAACCTTAGTTTTTGCCCCGTTTCTTCCCCGTTTGAACCTCCCCTTGGTCCCAAACAATAAACCAACCATCACAAACTACCTTAAGACAATCTAAACGATATGAAACAAAATTTTAATTATTTCCCAAATTCTCTCAAATTTTCGGGGTATTACACTACCTGCTCTAAGATTAACTCCAAACTTTGTTTCCAAGACCAGGTCTTCTTCGTAATTCAAATGACATAATTTGTCTGAGTGTCCAATTAATCCACAAATAAAACAGAAGTTTGGCAATTTCTCATATTTAAAATCTACCCAGTAACTCTTATCATCCTTCTTCAGATTAGTACCTCTTTTCAGAGCTTTCTCCACATTCATGCACACTCGTACTATCATATAGGCCTCCCACCTGTAACTATTCTGATTATCATCATATTTTATAAACTTTCCTATAAAATTTCGAATTCTCCTGGCCATACCTAAATTAACCAGACTATAATGTACATTGTGAACCTGAACTCAAAAGTCTGCCTCATCCAGGATAATTTTGTGTGGGATATCATTAGGTTTAACCTCTTCTAGTAACAATAAATTTCTCTCAAATTGCCACAGTCCTCCTTCCAGAACACGATTCATATCTAACCGGTGATAAAAGGTAAAGAGGTACCTTTTCTCCGTGACTTCTTTAACTGATAGGCCTTTACCCGATCTCCATAGTGATGCCAACATCTTCTTGATCGCCGGGAATCTGACCTTGCGGTCCGTCAGCAGCACCCCGACCACAGGGAAACCCGGCCTACTCTCCTCCTTCGGTTCCTCACTCGCCTCCGTATCATCAAGGTCCAGGTCGTCCTCCTCCCCCGCCAAAGCCATCTGCTTGTATTTGTTCACCACGCTCTCCATGCATGCCCTTCTCCCGCTCCTCTTGGTAAAATCGACTGTCGATTTTACCTCCCAAAGCAGCGAAAACTCAATATGGTAGAGCTACGAAGCTTCGAAAACGAAACTCGGAAAACCAAACTCGCTTCGCACGACTTACCGGCACAAGCCTGATAGAAATCGGCGACGGCGATACAGCCTAGGCGTTACCGATGGGTAACCCTAGAGAGAGTATTGGTGGGTGTTATTTCATTAATTAGAGTAGATATAGCATTACATAACTCAATCCATTATTTTAGGGGCAACAGAAAAAAAAATTAATTTTTGTAAAGTTATTCTGCTTTTGTTATAGACTCATATGTTGGTTTATTAGCCCTAATGTATAGTTTTATCAGGCCCAAACACAAAAAGCCAAAAATTAACAAAAAGGCCCTGCCTAGATTAACAAAAGGCACAATTGCACAAAGTTAACAACCAGACTTGAGGAAGACAACCAGATATCTCGGGGTCGACTCATCGGCATCCAGCATCTGTCTTCTCGCCTTCCGGCAGACGTCAGCACGGCGGACTGCCACTTCGCCGGTGCCAACACCAAATCACTGCTCTTCGGTCGTCGCAGCCTACTTGCCTCATGCTCGTCGCCGGCCTGCACTCGGGCACTCACCCTGCGACGGTCCGGCTAATCGGACCTTGTCAATGTTGAAACCTAAGCAAATTCTGAGAAACCTAATCAAACTTTGATAGGTATCTTACTATTTCACAATGTTTTTTGTGTGTGTTTTTCATCAGATTTACAAATTGGTTTTTGATTCATTTAATTGCTTCACCAGACCCATTTAGAAAAATTTAAAATATGAGATCTTTAACTTTGCATTTTCATTTTGGGGCTTTAATTCCCTTTTCACACAATGGTGAGATACTGTATATTGATTCATCTAAATATAGTTAATTTGACTGTATTTAGACAAAACTAATGAATGCTAAACCAATTTCTTACTATTTCCTTCTCCAGTAGAACACCTAATGTACTTGCTTAACCCTTAAATGGAATTATAACAGATTTGGATTAGGCATCTTGAGTTGAGACTGGCTGAGTTCATGCTATCCGGTTTGAAATTCTGGAAAATAGAACTCAAAGACAAAACAACTTTTTGTTGCAAATGTTGTTAAAACCCAGGCAACTGGTTTATATTTTTAAGATTAAAGGTGTTATTTATTTTTTTAGTTGTTTGTACCAGGTTTGAAATCCTACTGATAATTGGCTCCATCTTAATGTGTTAGCAAAAGATTTTTTTCCTGAAGAGGTTAAGTTGCAAAGCTGCACAATTTGTAACCCTGAAGCAGGCCACTGGTATAAATAATACATTAAATAATACCTTTTCAGAAGCTTTAATTCAAATTTTCTCATACAAATCGTCTAGGAAGAGTTAACATAAAAAGTTTTTTCTTCTGTTAATTAACATGAACTATTTTGATAATCACAGGCCAAAATCGCTGCAATTTAGTTGCACAGTACAAATCTAGTTTCAATTTTTAAGTCATTCAAAGCAGCAACGACACCGTATTCCTAAATATTTAGTATACCCATTACACAATTAAATCATCAGTAGTATGGCGATGTTTAGTCACTAGCAGATTCTTATTCTACGGTTCATTTGATTTATTAATACTTGGCATCATATGATCTCATACTTTGCTTTGACTTTTTTTTAAAAAAAATCAGCAACACAAAGCACAAAATTACATGCTTCCGGTTAGTATTTCTGATCCTCTCTTGTAATTTCCTACCTAATATTAAAGAACCACTTGAAGTTGCTATCATTCTACAATTACCTCTGATTTCTTAATGAATTTACAAATTCGTTTAAAAGCCAATTTATTTAAAAAATAATTATTCAGCAGTATCGCGAAATTAATAGCACTTCTGTTCAAAAAAAAATTAATAGCACTTGTGACTTGTTTACAGAGGAAGAGTTTGTGTTTTTATCAAAGTTTAAATCTTCAAAACCTTATACTTTTCTTTTACTATGCTAATATTTAATTTTTGTACTGCTGACTATTTACACTTTTAAATTTTAATCACCCAAAACATTGCTATTTGTAAACACCCCAACATATTTAGGAAGTCAATAGTACACAATATGCATGAGCAATTTATTTTGATTGCATTAAGGGTTCATCAGACAAAATAAAATGATGCTTAACCAGTTTCTTATTACTTCCTTCTCGAGTAAAACACCTAACATAATTGCTTAACACCTAATAAATGGAATAATAACATATTTAGATTAAGCATCTTGAGTTGAGACTGGAATTCTTGCTGTCCAGTTTAGAATTCTGGAAAATAGGATTCAAAGTTCAAATAATTTTTTGTTGCTAAAGTTGATCAAACCCAGGCAACTAGTTTCTATTTCTAAGATTGAAGGTGTTAGTTATTTTCTTAGTTGATTTGCTTCGAGCAATGGTATGTACGCATATCGGCATATGCTCATTTAAAAAATATGGATGTGGATAATTCATTCCAAATTTTTGCATATCTGTATAATTTAGTATTTTTTTTATTCCAAATTTTGAAGTAGTATATTACCCTTGAACCACATACCATATTGCTCTTTAATCTATACATTCTATGCAAAAATAAAAATTTCCATATTCATATAAAATATTTTAATTAAACATGCATGTTAAATAATTGATTCTCTCTGCATTGGGCACAACTTGCACGAAGTGCGTACGCCGCTAGTTTTTAATAATAATTGCCTGTACAAATTTTTTAACGTGGCCCATATAATGCAGCTATACGGATGGTCAGAATAGTATCGGCAGAGAGCCAAGACCGCCATTGACGAGTATTTGGTAATATTAGTTGAAAATACGTACACCCTAGGAAAGAACGTCCGAGAGAATGGAGAGGTTGTGTGATATGTGTGGAAATATGGGGTTAAAGGACGGCGATGATGGATTCTTTTATTGCACCCTGTGTGGCACTCGTGCAGATGATGTCATGGATACTGCGGTTGAAGAAGCTGACACCGGATTTGAGGGTGGGATCTATTCCGCGTCTCAAACACGGGCTCGTCCTAGACAAGTGGTAAGTCAGCCAACATCTCAATTCACGGATTCACAGTGCCAATATCTAGAGAATGATTGCATGGTCAATGGTGTTGTCCCTACTGACCCTATAAATGACATTGGTTCCTTGCCTGATACTTTCACTTCTCCAGACTCCTATTATTCAAAAATCAGGTTGAAGTATATTATGGGTGTTCAAATCATGATCCAGTTGCAGTGTAAGGCGTTGGTGGAGAAATTTAACGTCAGCCCTTTAATTATTGGACTCATTAGACCTATTTGGCTGAGATATGTCGCTCATGAAAGGATAATGGCTGATGATTGGGGAGACAAGGTTATTAATGAATCAGAATCCCAACCTGGGGAACTTGGCGAGTTCAAGATTCACGGTAGGGGCAAAGGAGAACCTCACAACCTTCTTGGTAAACGGTTAATACCATTGTGGTATGAATCTCTGAGAAGTAAGATCCCATTATCTAGTTCTCTGGCCATATCATATCTTGTTTGTCATTTAGCTAGGGAGGCTATCCTGCCAACGGACATTGTGAATTGGGTGCTTGAAGGAAAACTTCCATATTTTGCTGCTTTTGTTGAAATTGAGAAGCAACTTGGACCTCCGTCAAGGGAATGTCCATTGAGTTCTAGTCGTATGTTCCGACCTATCGAGGCTATCTCCACACACAAGTTAGAATCATTTGCTGCTTTAATTGCCCGGAGAATAGGTTTAGAACTACCGCCTGTGAATTTCTATGCTCTAGCTTCCCGTTTTCTTACAGAGTTATCTCTTCCAGTTGAAAATATTCTTCCTCATGCATGTCGTGTACATGATTGGTCTATGCCTCCACAGCTTTACTTATCTGATAATGAATGCAGCCTTCCATCTCGCGTTTATGTTATGTCTATACTTATCGTAACAATGAGAATTATATATGACATAAATGGCGGGAAATGGGAAATGATGTTATCTGGACCCAATGATCAATCCGTGGATGAAAAGAGTGATTTAGCTGAGGAGGAAGTCAAATTTGATGGTTCCAAGCTGATTCAGATTCTTGAAACAAAATATTCGGAGCACAAGAATGTTCATGATTATGCACTAGATCTGCCTACATATCTTCAACACTGTAAAGATGTGGTTTTTGCTGGATTAAATTCATCATTGGAGGACCATGAAGAAGAAAGTCTAATAGATGAACTATGGGACCTCTATGAAACGAGTAAGGATGCTGAACCATCAGATGGCCATAAAAAGAGTGAGGAGGTCAAAGAGAGTGGAGGCGATCTCAGCACAACAGTTAATCGTCTGAAGTGTCCATCGGATGATTCTGAATCACCAGTACATGCAAGTTCTAAGAAGTCATATAAGGATCGGGCGGTACGACAAATGAAATCAAATATGGAGGAAAATCGGTTTTCATATCTTCCACCCATTAAATCCACCTTGAAGAACCATGGTTACATTCGATATGCTAGAAAGAAAGATGGTGCCTTGATATATGCTGTCCATGCTGATTATTATATCATACTTCGCTCATGTGCACAAATTGCACAGATAGATACGAGGACCTTGCATATGGGTGTTTTGACCTTTCAGAGGTGGCTGGAACAGATGGAAAAGAAAATTGATATTTGTTTGCGTTGGGACCTCCCCGGGGACTCTTGTGATGTTTGTTGCGATTCAGTTTCAAGATGAAAATCAAACCCCTCAGTAATGCATTCTAGCTTCTTATAGATTTACCTTTGTATATCTGTGGCTCTTTTTTTCTAAATTGAGTTAATCACCATGGTTATGGAAATTCTATGATGGCATGAAATCTGAGTTAACATAATCATAAATTATGTTCCCTCCATCCCAATTTGATAGTCTCATTTCTTTTGGGCACAAATTTTAATAAAGTGGTTGAAAAGGTAAAAGTTGTGGTTGAGATTTGAGTATAATAAAGTGAAATGATATGGACCACATCTTTCTTTCCAAAAAGGGAAACAAGACCATCATTTTGGGACATCCCAAAAAGGAAATAAAGGACTATCATTTTGGAATGGAGGGAGTAAGAAATGTAGAAAATATCAACTAAATTCCTCAAAATGAATACATAATAATTAATAAATGAAAAGTTTATAGACAACTCAGTAAATATTTGGTACCCTGATTAAAAGAGGAATTGAACTATTATTATAGTAGTATAGTACCCAAACTGGGATCATAGTTGTCATGGCGCATGGCGACATCCATGGCGCACAAGCCATTTCCCATGGCGATGGCGATGGCGCAAATATGGCGTCGCCACGTGACAAAAAAAAACTTCAAAACGAATGATAAACACTTTAATTCATCAACCCAACCACCAAACCATGATAAAAAAGTTAATAACAACATTCTAACCAAAACAGGTGAAATTAAAATAGTTTAAAGTACTTCCAAGTTAATCATCTCAAGTTGAAGTAAAAACTGCAACTCTGCAAGTATTTAAAATATGAATGTAAAGTTTAAAGGACTTTAAACTGTTAATCACCTCAAGTTCTCAATTTATAATCAAACTGATAGTAAAGGACTTTGAACTAATAGTATTTAAAATCAAACTGATACTTCTTAATCAGAAAGGCTTTCAATTTCAATTTATAACTGATAGTTTATGCTTTATAACGGTATAGTTTACACTTTATAACTTCATAATCAAACTGATATATTACTTTATATATCAAACTGTATAAACTATAAAGTTAGCTGAAGTAAAAACCATAAAGTAAAAACTTCTTAATCAAACTGATAGTTTATACTTTATAACTGTATAAACTATAAAGTTAACTGTATAAACTATAAAGTTAGCTGAAGTAAAAACTATAATGTAAAAACTTCTTAATCAAACTGATAGTTTATACTTTATAACTGTATAAACTATAAAGTTAGCTGAATTAAAAACTATAGAAGTAAAAACTTCTTAATCAAACTGATAGTTTATGCTTTATAACTGTATAAACTATAAAGTTAGCTGAAGTAAAAACTATAAAGTAAAAACTTAATTTTAACATAAACTATAAAGTAAAAACTTCATTTTAAATTATCTGAACATACTGTTATTATAAAGTAGTTAGCTGAGTGCTAAAGTAGTAAAAACTATAAAGTATAACTTTTATATACTGTTATTATAAAGTAGTTATAAGTGCTAACATACAGTTTAAGAGTGCTAAGTTCTAAGAAAATTGTTTGTAAACTGAAGTTATAAGAGTACTTTATAACTGTACTCAGGCTTTGTGTCCGCAGGCTTTGTGTGTTATTTACTTTTGTTAGGTTGTTATTACTATAATGGGCTAAAATATTAAGTTTTATTTAGAGTTTTATTAAGTTAGCGTTAAGCAGGCCCAACAGCCCCAAAATTTCAGACCAAATGTCCGCTGATGTGTAAAAAAAAACCTACACATCGCCATGGCGATGGCGAGACAATGGCATTGCCATGTGTATACCCAGCGCCACGGCCTATTTTATGGCGCCGAGGCCATTTCCGCGCCTCATGGTGCATGGCGCAAGCGCCATGGCACGCCATTGACAAGCTTGACTTGGATAGATCACGGGTAAAGATGGGCTGTAAAAAATGTGCCTAATTTGAACTAGAATATGCATAATCACATATATACACTGATACACAACGTAAAACCTCTACATAATTTCTTAAAATCTTATAGTAGTCAATGAGGGTTAGGGCATTTAAGGAATGTAAAATGTGTTGATGTAATCATCTAGCTTAGTCAAGTGGTACAATATGTTTTATCATCTGTACTCTTTTTTAGATGTACTTAACTTCCGGTTTCATTTCCATCTGTTGTCTGTTCCATCTCCTTCTCATCGTCCCCTGAGTTGACCTTCCGTTTCCTCCGTCTACCATCCCTCCCAACTTTGCTATCTGCTCCCGGCGCTCTAACATGCTCCCAGTGTTTCTGTCTTGACCCACTGACCACCCAGGTATGTTGTCTTGCTATCTTCTCCCAGTGCCCTAACATGCTCCAATTTATTTGAATGAATAAATACTTCGTAAAATGTAATTTGGATGGTGGAGATGCTCATATTCCAGGCCTTAGGCCTCCCACTGACCACACAATTTTGATAAACTTCCGCGCTTCCTCAAGCCCTGCACTGCTAGCATTTCTTTCTTTCCTTCCCTTGCCCCTGACAGTGTGGTTTATCAGTTTCTTTTTTATCGGTACTCTGTTCATTACTCTACTTGTAACATAAGCTTTAACATTCTGATTACAGAATATGCAAACTTCAGTAGGCCCATTTTATATTTTCCTTCCAATTAAATCACCACCCTGGATAATATTTGAGGTTAGGCTTGAATGTCACATTATTGCATTTAATCTACAACCGTGAGAGATATGATTATATGAACATCTATATAAGGTAGTGACATAGTGTATATATCATGTGTAAGCTGTTTTCCCTCATGTCTGTAAATTGTACAATTTGCAAGGATATAGTCTGTATTTCAGTAATAACAACTATTAAAGAGTTATGACATTGCCTATCACATTATATTTTGGTAAAATCAGATTTTTGGTAGTGCTCACAATAGTATGCAGGGCATAAGCCATTTTTTTTGCAGGTTTGGTAGTATCCTGGTGTTTTTGGGCGTTCAGTGACTTTGGATCAAATTTTTTTGGGTAGATATCTGCAAAGGATTAAACTTGAAAAATTGAAATAGATAATTGGAATTTAAATATAACTAAAGATTTGGGAGTCAATCCTTGTATTTGTATTTCTATTAGTTTATTCATTTTAAGCAGCAGTTCATATTATTTAGATTATTAGGGGTCTACTGATGCTTCTCTTAGCTTACATTCTTTTACTCACCTAAAAATATCTAGCTGATTAATTGATTTTATTTACGAGTATTATATACTAACTAACATGCATTTGTTTTGCCAGCTTTTCCATTCGGGCAACAACCTACTTTACAATGATAATTTTATTTGATATGTGATCTAATTTAGGAATATTGCTCTCTCTGCTTCATTATATTATCAGCCCATAAGTTTGGAAATAACGTTCACTCTGCTTGTGTTTAAAAATACAAAACAAACGTGTTCAAAAGAACTTGCAAAATCTAATGAAAAAAATCTGGTGGCCCCATAGCTGGAGCTATTTTTATTGAAACGTTTTGACACCTGTTCCAGTATTTCTTTTGGGTATCAAGCTAGGCTTGACTGGATAATTGGGGTACACCTGTAAAACAATTTACACCGCCAGACTTTCATATACCTGTAAAACAATTTTCAAAGTGCAAGGAACAAAACTGACATGGAGAACGAAATATGCCCAAACATCAAACACAACTAAGAATGTGATTATTGAGGTAAGAGCCAATGATTAATGCATCTAGAGACAAAATAAAGAGAACAAATTTGACGTACTTAATGTTTTTTGAGGTTTTGTTAGTGATGCAAGGGTTCCACCCTCCTCAGCCTATTTTTTTTTTCCTTTTTTGCAGGTGGAATGGTAGGAGTTTGATGATGTTCAGTCCTAAAAGTGTTGGTTTATATGTTGCTAACAGAAGGATATAAAGTATGGTAAAGCTGTTATCAACAAGGGAAAATAAAACACAGACATCATGTTGTGGAATGAGGTTGCTGGATCGTGCGAGGGGCAAGGTGGTCAACTCCCAAGGGGGATATTTTTTCCCCCTAGGCCCACAATAAAAAATTCTGAGCTAAACAAGTTCTCTCCCTATCTATCTTATCATACAAGCATGAATGTTGGGTATGCAATTTTGTGTCAGAGTTTAAACCATACTTAGTTTATAGGGTATTAGCAAGCTGAAGCATGATAATAATTGAAAAAATATCCCAGTAGTTAAACCTCCCATATTAGTCTAGCTAAGATGGACTTGGTTTGTCTTGAATTCCAGATTTGAAATCTTTTGAATGATAGCAAGCTTCTATTATGTGGTTTCTCTGAATTTGAATATCGTAAATTAACTTCTAAAGGTAGTAAATGTAGCCTCCAATTAGTGTATCTGATACAAAAGGAGTTTAGCTTGGTTCATGTATTTTGACTTTTAATATACAATATCTTTTATTGAATTTCTGTTTTAAATGCAGTAGTTGTAATCAATCAAGAAATTTAGCAATTTTTAGAATCAAGAAATTTAGCAGTTTTTAGTGTTAGAGGAAAAGTTAAAAAAATTACCTTCTAATCTCTTGATTACTCAAAACAACTCCACTTAAAACTCAAGAAAAGTTATATGTAGAGATTTGTGCTTCATTTTATTTTCCATTTAGCACACACTGATAGCCAGCTCACTCATATTTCATTTTCAATTTTCCATTACTAAAAACTACTCCATTTTTATTTTCCATTTAGCACACACTAATGACCGGTAGTCAACTCTGATACCATATTGAAGTAATTTGATAGTAATTGTATTATGAAGAAGGAAGTGAGATTTCAATGTTCACAAAGATGAAGAATCAGAGAGAAAATTGCAGAATGAAAGAAAGATTCGTTGAGTAAAAAACTATATATTATACTCCACTAAAAATAGAAAACAGACTAAAGGTTCAAATAGGCCCCTAAACTCTAAAAGCTCTAATTCACCTTTGAGCTTGACAAAAAAGTTCAAACCTCATTTTTCGCAGGTAAAACTACGGTCATCGTCACGTGGCTATTTAAGAGGTCAAATAGGTCCTTTAACCCGATAGAGTTGTTCAATTTGTCCCTTCAACTGTTAAAAAGTGTAAGAATTGTAAAAAATAAGAAATTAAAAAAAAACTACAAATATAAAATAAGATACGAGCTGAAAGTATAAAGATATATTGATATTCGCGGTAAATTCATATAAAATAAACTAAAAGAAACTCATTAAAACTATTTTGATATACTAAATCTATTTTTTTTTAAATAAACAATACATGTTTTTACAAATTAGAATTAAATTTATATTTTGTGTATTATATGTAAGAATTGGTATTATAAAAAATACTTTAGGATTTCTATTTTACAATTTATATTATGTTTAAATTTTGAATTGTATTTTTCATTTGATATTTTTTAATATTTTTAATATGTTTTAGATTTATATGTAAAATTACACACACATGCATATATGTATGTATGCTTCATATTATTTTATTCTAGAATTATATACTATACTTCATACTAATTATATACACACCATAAAAAAATTTATACTATATAAAAAGTATAATATGAAAATAACTATTACATTTTTAATATTATGTATTAAAAAATAATTTATTTTGGTTATATTGTTTATTTATTTAATTTACCGCAAAATATAAATATTTTATTATTATATTATATTATAAATAGATGTATATTATAAATAGATGTATATATTATATATTATAAACTTTTATATTATTTTATATTTTTATTTTTTATTTCTTAATTTCTTATTTTTTAATAGTAATTTTGACACTTTTTAACGGTTAAGGGGGTAAATTGAAAAACTATGTCGAGTTCAGAGGCCTATTTGACCCCTTAAAGGCTTAAATTGCCATGTGAGATGCATGGTTGACATCTAACTGGGTGACGTGGCGGTGACCGAATATTTACCGGTAAAAATGAGATTTGAAATTTTTTGTGAAGTTCAGAGGGTGAATTGGAGCTTTGTAGTGTTCAACGTGCGAATTGATCATCCTGAACGGGTATAGGCCCTATAGGGGCCTATTTGACCATTTGACCTAGAAAATAAGACTAAATACTACTTTGCAGTATGGTACTTGATGTTTTGAGTGTCTTTAAATGAGACCTCCTGACACATTTGTGTGCATCCCAGCGGTTGATTAGTTCATCTTTTTACCTTCTTATTCTGTTTTGGTGTTTTAATATTTTAATTATGTTTGGTTTCTATTCCATTACTTTTATTTGGAAATTGAATTCCAAAATTATCATTATTTTTATTTCTAATATTTTTTGTTATTATGTTTTATGTCATGTTATTAGGGTCACAAACAAAAATCAGTATCATTTGAATTAGGTATTGATTATTAATAAGATTTGTTAAATTACTTTGCTTCTACATAATGAGTATTTACTTGAGAAACACCATTTCATTTGTTAACTGAAACTAATTTTTCCTCATTTTATTCTCACTTTTCAAAGAACTTCCATTTTAGATAGTATCACTGCTTAATCCATGGAGTATTAAAATACGTAGTACATGAATTCAATGGGGTTGATGTTTCTATTTGAGTTTACCTAAATGAGTGCCAAAATTCCCGGATCACGTTGTAGGATTTGATTTGATCATATGCTCACTTTAGGGGTACACAAAAATTAAATACTACTCCGTACTACATAGCTTGTACTATCTAATTCCATTAAAAGGAAATTAATGGAATATATGCAATATTTTGTTTACTTTCATCTATCCAGCGGCAGTCACAAACCGTGGTACCGGTATACCATGCACATACGTGCCATTTTCTCCTTTTAATTTGAAGCATTACGTACATTTTTTTCCTTCATGCCCTCTAGGTTTATTTGGAGCACTATTTCCTCTCTTTATTTTTCTTTTTTGTTTTCTTCAATGAAAAAAAAATTGAATTAACTTTTTTCTTTACCAATGTATTACTAAATTTCTTAATCCACATAAAATAAGTACCACCAATTTCATTTTTGGTGTATTTTTTTTTGCATTTATACACCTTTTTTGTAAAATATTTTTCATATTCATACACTTCTTTTATGATATATTTTTTATCTCTTTTATATGTTTGTAGTTTTTTTAAGACACTAAGTTTATTTATTTTGATTTAAATTTGATAAAACATGAGATTACATTTTTTACATGTGTGAGTTATGTTACATTTTCTGGAGTTACATTTGATAGTATATGAAGTTATATCTTCTTGTCCACGAGTTACATCTGTATATGGGTGAGTTACATATTTATATGCGCGAGTTACATTTGGATTTGCCTCAACAATTTACATTTTGCATACACCTACGTTAAATTTTCCACTAATGCGAGTTATAATTTTCATAACACGAGTTACATCATAAAATAAACTCATGCTATTGAAACAATTTTTTTTTTGTAAAAATGGATTTTTTTTGGCAAAAAATATTTTTTTTTTGGAATTTTTTCTCTCTTTAAACCATTTTTATGGCCCTATATTAAAAACAAAATCCTTTTGTTTTTTAAGAGCATACAAAACGCCACATAATCCTGCCATTTCATTATATATAACATTTATTTACTTATTTTTATACCTTTTGTTTTTTATAGATTCTATTTTTGATTGCATATTGATATGGAAACAAAAATCCTTACGAATCCACCTTAATTAATTTGGTAAGCTTCAAATAAGTAAAATAATTTTTGGTTATCAAAGTGAAATTCTAATAACGTTTATTGATACGGAAACTAATTTATATTATTTTACTACACCGAATTAAATAGAAACAAATATGCAAATTAGTTTACTTATTAATTTGACACCTATTAATAAATTAGTAAGCTTCAAATAAGTAAATAATTAAAAATGAAATTAAAAATTATGACCAACATAAAGTATATATATTTTCATAGGTAAATATGTTTAGCTTAATCAAATAAGTAATTTTTTGGTTGTTTCTTTATTTTACACCTAAAATTCAATTATGCCTTTCAGTTCCTAATCCTTATAGGAATACTTTTATTCCTAATAAGTAAATTTTTTTGGTTGTTTTTTTGTTTCAAATATACTTTTGAAATAGATTCCTAATCCAAATTAGAAAATCTTTATAGGTTTACGAATTCCTACTTTTATTTTAATAGAATGTTTTTAATTGGATTGATTTCAGTTCCAGATTAAATCAGATCAGATCAAACTTTAATAATTATAACAATAAGTCACATAAAAACAGACATCTAATAGATCATATTAATTCATACCAAATCAAACCCGAAATTTTAATTCAATTAAAAATGTTCTTATTAATGAGTAAACTGTAAGATCTAACAATTAAGAAAAAATATAGATTTTTTTATTATTGGGTCCATAACAATTATGTTTACTTGAGATGCTTATGTAGAAGACCAATTAAACTTTTTTTTAATGTGTTTTTTTCTTTGTTTCTCAAATGGAATATATTTCACATATATTTTTCATGATTCAGAAGATTCCACCTATTTAACCAGAATTCAATCAATTTCAGCAAAATAAGTTAATTCTATTTACTTTAGTATTATCAAACAGACTCTATATTAGACTAAGTTTATTTTTCTTTTAAATCACATTATATGTGATCCTATAGAAATTAACTTTCAAATTAGGGAAATTACATACTGCCCGTGCATCGCACGGGCTTGAAAGCTAGTATTATATGAAGTTACATCTTCTTATACATGAGTTACATCTGTTTATGCGTGAGTTACATCTTAATGTACGTGAGTTACATTACGAAATAAAATCTGGCTAATGATAAAAAAATAATTTTCTTTAACTATATCATTTTTATAGCCCTAATATTAAAAAAAACTTATTATTCACTATTTACAAAAAGTAATTGGTCAATTAGTATCAATTTTACATTGAAACCAATGTTTATAATATATATATATTCTATTCAATTATATCATTTTTATGGCCCTAATATTAAAAATAAAACATATTCGCTAATTGCAAAAGTAATTGAGTAATTAGGATCAATTTTTCATTGTTTACATTGAAATCAATCTAATTTTGTCTTACATTTCAATTTAGACCACTTACATTTAAAATTGACTCATATTACATTTCCTATCAACGTGAGTTACATTTTTTAAAACGGGAGTTACATCACCCTGCTACTGGAATACAAAATAAAAAATTACTGTTCATCGATGGGTACTGTTCATCCGTGTTTTTTTCCCTTTGATCTTTTGTTCTCAAAGAAAATTACGGAGTATTATATAGCCAACCAAAGACATGTAAAATATTTATTACTACTATAATCCTATTCAAAGCAATATTAAAAATTCATCACAAAAATATAATACTCACAACTAAAGCATTTTCATCTTCAAATACGTTTAAACAACACACAAAGCAATAACAAAGTACACGTAAAATTAGAACTTCATA